TACTCGGCCTGCAGCCCCCGCTCCCGGCGCAGCTTCCCATGCGCTGCCATGGCTTCCGGGCGGCCGCGCCGTCGAGCCCCACTGCTCCCACGCGGCCGCGAGCGGGGCCGGGCGCCGGGACCTGAGGCTCTGCAGCCAGCGCCCCCGCCGGCCCCGCCCCGCCCCGCCCCCAGCGCGGCTCCGGGGGCGGAGCAACCCCCCCGCCTGGCACTGCCCGCGAGGGCTTTCCGGCGGGGTCCCACTGCGGCTGGACCCTGCCGCCCCCTCGTGCTGGGCTCTGGGCACACACCTGAGCTTCCTGTGCCCAATGCTCAGCCGCCAAGCAGCCAGGGCCCCTGGGAGAGCCTCAACGTGTCCAGCAAGCTGGCACCCTCTGGCTGCCGCCCCGCCCCCAGAAGGTTGTCCGGTCACCACTACCAAACCACACCCTTCACAGCATGGCCATGGGCCCTGAATGCCAGTAGGCAGTGACACTATAGCTGCTCCGGACCCCCAGGACATCAGATGGAACCTACTCATCCCAACTCAGAGCCCTGATAAGCACAAGGAGCCTGGAGAGCCTGGTGGGAAGTTCCCAGGGCGGGTGGGGAAGGAAAGTCAGCACCAGAGATTAGAACCTCAGCCATTATTCCCTCAGACCCCCTAGTTGCGGGGAGAGCAGGGTTTGGCTAAGGTTCCCCTTCTGCTCAACCCCACAGGGAGGAACAAGCCTCATTTCCCCATAGGTAGTTACCACTTCCTGCCACTTCCTGCTGCCGGAAGAGACTCTTCTGCCTTCTTTCCCCTGCCGCTTGCACCTTCTTGCCCCTGCTGCTTGCACCTGCCCTGTCTTAGGCTTGGGGCCTGGGGTTCAGCCTTCCTCTTCCCCCTTCAGCGTAAGGCCTTAACAAGCCTGGAGGCAAATCTTGGGGCCTCCCTTATCCAGGAGTGCTGGAGTTTCCCTCCACCCCTCTCTACCAACTCGAAGCCAAAAGGCAGCCGATTTTCTCTAGTAAACTGGGAAGGCAGGATGTAGGTGACAGTTGACAAACCAGACTAGACAACGGTCTTTAGTTCAGTGGGAGGGAAATCCCTGGGGTATAGATGGTGGGAGGGGGCGGGGCAGTTAGGTTCCAGCCCTGTGCCCAGGGAGGCGAGGAAGGCCTGTAGGCACTAGTGCAAGGAGTCAAAGTCAGGCTCAGTGCAAACGTGGGCATATGTGACCTCGACCTGCAGCTGGGGGTAGAGTGGGGGGCGGGGAGGCTGTGCAGGTCCTTCTTGCATCTAACCTATGAGCAGTTCTCTTGCCCAGAAGGGGAAAACAGACGTCCTCAGCTCCCTGCCCACCCACCCCTACTCCTGCCCAGGACCAACGCCCTTCTCTAAGACACCACGTGTCCACGGGGCCTGGGGTTGGAAGGCCTGGGAGCTGGCCTGACACCAGCAGGCCCAGGACCTGGGCTTCTACGAGCTGGCCTCAGCAGTACCACTGCTGGAGTCCTCTAGCAAGGCAGGCGAGCCTCCTGCCCCTTCCCGAAGCATGCACAGGCACTCCCGCACGGAAACCCGCTCGTGTGTCAGGAACCATGCACCACATCAGCTAACCCCAACACACCTTGCCCCCTACCCTCCATCTGAGCACTGACTGGTCCCCCAAAGTCACTCCCCCATCCAGCAGAGCCATGCACAGACCTCAACCCCCAGGAAACTGCTGCTGAACTGGCCTCAGCCCCTACTTTCAAATGCTCTCCTCTATCCTTTTTTTTTTTTTTTTAAAGATTTTATTCATTTATTTGACAGAGAGAGAGACAGATCGAGAGAGGGAACACAAGCAGGGGGAATGGGAGAGGGAGAAGCAAGCTCCCCGCCGAGCAGGGAGCCCGATGCGGGACTCGATCCCGGGACCTCGGGACCATGACCTGAGCTGAAAGCAGACGCTTAAAGACTGAGCCACCCAGGGGGCGCCTGGGTGGCTCAGTTGGTTGGGCGACTGCCTTCGGCTCAGGTCATGATCTTGGAGTCCCGGGATCGAGTCCCACATCGGGCTCCCTGCTCGGCGGGGAGTCTGCTTCTCCCTCTGACGCTCTTCCCTCTCGTGCTCTCTGGCTCTCATTCTCTTTCTCTCGAATAAATAAATAAAATCTTAAAAAAAAAAAAAAAAAAGACTGAGCCACCCAGGCGCCCCTCCTCTATCCTTTTCTGGCTCCAGAAATACTCATGTGATGCCCCATTAGGCCACTGCTTTATTTTTATTTTTTTTAAAGATCTTATTTATTCATTTGAGACACAGAGATACAGAGAGAGAGAGAGAGAGCGCGCATGAGCAGGGAGAGAGGCAGAGGGAGAAGGAGAAGCAGGCTCCCCGCTGAGCCAGGAGCCCGATGCAGGGCTTGATCCCAGGACCCTGGAATCACGACCCGAGCAGAAGGCAGATGCTTAACCATCTGAGCCACCCAGGTGCCCCAAGGCCACTGCTTTAAAACTTGACATAAGCCCTGGCTTTTAGGATGCTTGTTTGGCCTTTGAGGCCCTAGTGCTTGCTCTATCTTCAGCTACATTATTCCCCTTCAAAGAATCCAAAAGCCCATTATCCCGCAGAAGATGAGGACCAGATGTGTGGGACCTTGCACAAGGTGTTGAGGAGTGGAGCATGCGCTCGGTCCTGAGGGGTGACCTCAGGGCTGACATAGGTCAAGTATGCTGTGCGGAGGGACGGGCTAGAGGGAGATGAGATCAATGTTACAGCCGTCCATGTCAGAGCGAGAAGAGACGAGAACATGAATTGGGCAGTGAAGGTCCCATACGAAGATGCTGTGAGGCCCCTATTTTCCTACAAGTCAGATTTCCAGAAGAAGCTTAAGAACGGGGGCTTCCCGGGGTGGGGGGGCGCCTGGGTGGCTCAGTTGTTAAACGTCTGCCTTCGGCTCAGGTCATGATCCGGGGGTCCTGGGATCCAGCCCTACGTGGGGCTCCCTGCTCAGCAAGGAGCCTGCTTCTCCCTCTGCCCCTCCCACTGCTTGCGCACTCTCTCTCTCAAACAAAATCTTAAAAAAAAAGAATGGGGGCTCCTGGGGTCAAGGTTGTGCACCCAGTCTGTGTACAGGTTCATCCCTTGGGGAGACGTGCCCGGAGCCCACCCCCAGCCACAGCGAGAGAAGGTAAGGGTGGGCCTGCTTGCCCACCGTCTGCCTTCCAGCCCCAGCTCCGCTCAGCAAGCCCTGCACAGAAGCGGCCCCTCCCACAGGCGGGTGCTGCAGAGACCGGGAAAGAGCTGGGCCCCAAGGGCCGCTCGGGCCTGCGGCTTCCCCTCTCCCCTCCCCGCCCCCGCCGCGGCCCCCACCTCCGCCCAGGAAACCCAACCGCCTGAAAGCGGCCTAGCGTCAACCTGCCGCCAGGGACACAGGGCACGGAGGGCAGAGGGCGGGCCAGTTCCCTGTGGGCCGGCCGAGGGCGGAAGGAGGGTGCGGCCCAGCGCCGTGGGAGCCTCCGCGGACTTCCCCCCCCCCCCGCGACCAGCGCTGGGGCGCGGCCGAGGCAGTGCGCATGCCCGCCCCGCCCGGGAAGGCCCGCCCCGCCGCCGCCAGACCAGTCAGAGCCTGGGAAAGAAGGCGGCGGCGGCCGACGAAGAGGAAGGGACTGACGCCAGGCGCAGGGGGCGGGGCAAGGCTCCCCCTCCCCCTCCCACAGCGCGCCGGCGAACGGGCGGGCTGGCGCAGGCGCACCTTTGCAGCCTCGCCCTCTCTAGTCTGGGCTTCCCCGGAGGCCTGATGGTCACGTGCCAGGCGCCGGCCAGAGAGAAAACGGAGCTCTGGGCCCGCGGTGGCGAATTACTCAGCCTAGCAGGGGAGCCGGGCGCTCTCTGCAGTAGCAGGCTCATGAAGTACAGTGACAGCTTTGGAGTACTGACCTCTGCTGGGAGGTGGGCAACCCAGGCCGAGCCTGCCCAGGGACTAACAGCAGCAAGTGATTACACTGCAGCCAGAGGGAAGGGCAGGGACAAAGGCACGGGAGCAAATCCTAGAGCTGGAGTAAAACCACAAAAACGGAGGGCTTACAGAAACACACCCAGGAGCACCTGGGTGGCTCAGTCGTTAAGCGTCTGCCTTCGGCTCAGGTCGTGATCCCAGGATCCTGGGATCGAGCCCCGCATCTGGCTCCCCGCTCAGCGGGAAGCCTGCTTCTTCCGCTCCCCCTGCTTGTGCTCCCTCTCTCGCTGTGTATCTCTCTCTTTCTCTCTCTCTGTCAAATAAATAAATAAAATCTTTAAAAAAAAAAAATGAAAGAAACACACCCATAAATACAGAGCACAAACTGCTGGTTGCCAGAGGGAGGGGGGTGGGGGATGGGTAAAATGGGTGTAGGGGGGTGGGAGATACAGGCTTCCAGTGATGGAATGACTATGTCATGGGAATAAAAGGCACAGCACAGTGAATACAGCATGATATTGTAATAGCACTGTATGGTGACCCATGGTAGCTACACTTGTGAGCATAGCAGTACAGAGAGAGATGTTGAATCACTGTGCTGCGCACCTGAAACTAATCTAACATTGTGCATCAACTATACTCAAATAAAACCCCCCAAAAATGGAGGGCTTATATTCTGCAGGAAATGACATTATGCATTTGTCAAAAAAACAGAATGCAGGGCGCCTGGGTGGCTCAGTCGTTAGGCGTCTGCCTTCGGCTCAGGTCATGATCCCGGGGTCCTGGGATCGAGCCCCGCATCGGGCTCCCTGCTCCGCGGGAAGCCTGCTTCTCCCTCTCCCACTCCCCCTGCTTGTGTTCCCTCTCTCATTGTGTCTCTGTCAAATAATAAAAAAAACAATGCACAACACAAAGAAGGAAATGTAAAGCCTGGACTATAGTTAATTATCGATATTGGCTCATCAACTAACAAATGCAACATTTAATACAAAATGTTAATAGGGGAAAACCGTGAGGGGGCAGGGAGGTACATGGAAACTGTACTATCTGCTCAGTTCTGTAAACCTAAAACTGTACTAAAAATAAAGTCTATTTCCAAATGAAGGTTTAGGTTAGGGGGCAGATTCCATGGGTATTACGGTGGTCAAACACACAAGACTTTCCGATCTCTTGGATGGCAGCGGAGGGAGGAATCAAGGACAGTCGCCAGGGCTTGAGCAACTGGGTAGCTGGTTGGGCCATTACCAGACAGGACACCAACAGATAAGCCCAGTGAACAGCTGGATTTTACGCATCAGGAGCCCAGCAAGGCAGTGGCAGAGCAGGGCTCAGAAGGCAGAGCATCTGCCTCCCCGGCAGGGACTGGCTTCCAGAACTCCAGGGTCTCCCTCCCCTGGGCCCAAAGGTGCCAAAAGCCATTAGACTTAGGAGCCCCACCTCTAAATCCCGGACAAAGCTCTTCCCTTCTACTTGGGCTTCGGCAGGACACACGGTGCCAAAAGACTACGAGGTCCATATCCACAGGGACACAGAGCGGCTGGAGAGAGGCAGTCCCCCACCCTCTCCACCAATGTGCACACTCGCACACACAAACTCCCCAAGGCCACCGGGTGAAGTTTATTGTGAAACCTCGAGGGGCAGCGAGGACAGAATGGGCACGTCAGGGTGGGGAGAGGAGCAAGTGCAGGCTCTAGGAGGCGGAGTCAGAGGCCTCTGAGCTGTCCTTGACGTCGGTGCTCTCTGTGGTCTCGCTGACCTCGCTGAGATCCTTGCTGTCCCCACCGCTATCCTCAGCAGCCAGGCCCTTCTCCTCACGACAGGCCTCTCCCGAGCTTGGAAGGGAGTTGCCTCTGCCCTCCACCTTGTTCTCGATGGAGCCCAGCACCACGTGCCTGCCCTTCTCCTTCAGCTCCAGGTGCCGCCTCAGCTGCCGCCAGGAGTCCAGGGAGACGCAGGGGGAAGGAGACAGGGCCTAAGTCTCCAGACCACGTGGGCCCTCTCCGGCCACCCACGCTGGGGATGGGGGAGGCCTGCATCTGTCACTTGCTGGGGGCAGCAGGGCCAGGGCAGGACCCGTTCTCCTCTGCCCAGCTGTGTCTCACCCCTGAACCCTGGGGGCCCTAGTTCTCAGCACATCCAAGGGCCTCCTCCCTGCCCTCTGCCATCACGCCTCAGACAGTACAGGCTGCTGCAGAGAACGACATCTTGGGGGCAATAGCCTCCTTTACAGCCCTGCCACGGCCCAGCTCCCCACCTGTCAGCTGAGGAACGGAGGTGAAGAGGGCCAGGACTCCCGGCTGTGACGGCACCAGTCCCCTGGGGACACTTACCTCATCGGCCATCTGGGTGAGGTCCCGCTTCATGGCGTATGCATCTTCCCCATCTGCGTAGTACTTGGGCTCCACTTCGCTGATCCTGGGGGCAGGAGGTGCAGAAAAGAACGACCCAAATCAGAGGGCCAATTCTCCTCAGTCTTCTGGCATTCTCGGCTAGTGGGACAGCATATCTACTTTCCCCTGAAGGACCCTTGTGGAGACAGCAAGCCCCATTTCCCTTTGTGCTCTCCGGCAGTTAAGCAGTAACTAGCCCCCAGTGCCTTTACACCTGTGGGCTGCCACTGTCCTGTGTCCCTAACCTGGCTCGCAAGGATCAGTTTCTGTGGTTTATTATGAGCTGAAGCCCTGAATTTAGCCATCCCCTTCTCTCCATGCCCTGTTCCGTGTCTCTGACTGAGCAAGGAAGACTGACTCCTGCGCCTAGCAACTGGAACCGAGGAGGACGGGTGCTGGGGCCTTGGTTCCTGACAGTCACTGCCTGACCATGTGACCCCCTGCTCTGAGCAGCTTAGGGGCCAAGCCTGCACGGGGAGGGGGTGGGGGGTGGGGAGGAATGCATGTGCCGACTCAGGTACCTTGCCACTGTTTGGAAGGGGCGTGGACTTGACAGCCTAGGAGACCCTGGCAGCCCTAAGACCTCAGAATTGTTGGCCACCAGAGACATCTGCATCCAGATCAAAGATCCCTCCCTAAATGCCCGTCCCAATGGTCCCTCTTCATCCCCCACCAAACTGAAGCTAAAGCTGTCTCTGTGGGCCCTCCATCCCCAGCCTCACTTTCAAGCAGCTTTCGCCACCATGTACTGTCATATCACTTCCCTGCCAGGCTTTCTCTGTCCTGTGCCAGGCACACAGAGACTCCCATGTCCCCAAGTGGGCTTGCCCTCATCCACCAGGACACCCCAGAACTCTAGATCCCTCCACTGCTCTTGCCGAAGGCCCTACCTGCCTGGGCGTGCTTAGGTTTCTGTAGCACCACATTCTCCTTTCTCCCGGTCCCTCTTAGGTGCTTCTAGGTGCCAGGTCACCTCGGGCCCTGCTTCTGCTCATGTCCTGGGCCCTCACCTCTACTCCTGAAGCTTTACCAAGAAGCCTGTGTGCCCTCCACCTAGCCCTAGCCGACATCAGGCAACACAGCCAGCCACACCACTCTCCTGCATCACAACACGCAGCTGCTGTTGTCACAGAGACTGAAGACATCCTGGTAATGTGGGGAGTCCACAGCCTGCTTCCCATCTCAGCCGACTCCAGGTCTTTCCTCCAGCCACCCCCATCCCCCCACCTGGAAGGCAGCTCAGCCCATCTCAGATGCCTGGATGAGCCAGATCTGTGACCACCCCATTCCATTAGAAAAGTCTCGAGCTACTTACTGAAAGTTGAGAGTGTTGGAATAGAGGTGCAGGGCGGCCCGGTTACTGCAGGAGAACAAGGCACTGCTGAGCTGCACAGACTTGGCCAGACAGGGACAGCATGTCCAGGTCCAGCCCCTCCTCCCAGCGCCCCCCTCCCCACTAATCCCACTTCCCAGATCTTCTTCAAAAGCCAGGGCACCCCAGGACCCACATCAAGACAGCATCTCCTCCCCGACCCTCCTCCCTCCCTCGGCCCTGGCTTCCACCTCTTCCGGACATGCAGGGAGACGTATTTGGCATTGAAGTTCTCTATCATGGCTCGGGAGGCCTGGTCCATCAGCTTCTGAGCCAGGCCGAGGCGTCGGTGGGAACGCTTCACAGCCTGGTGGGAGAAGCATGGGACCTCAAGGGCTGCCCCAACTAAACCCACCTCCACCGCTGCCAGAACCTGGGCGGGTCCTACGCACCAGCGAGGTTATATGTCCATGGGGCACATCATCTGGATCCTCTTCCCTAAAGCAAGAAGAAAGGAGAGGCTAGAAAGGAGCCTGGTGCAGATGCAGTCCCCACCCCACACCCCTGGTGCATACGCAGAGCAGGAGCACAAACTCCTCTGCTGGCTCCAGGGTTGGGGAAAGCTGGGACTCTCAAAACCCCACGCAGCAGCCACAACACAAGCGCAGTGTCAATGGAGCACAATGGAAATGCTGACCATGCCATAAAGAACTGAGCTATCAAGCCATGAAAAGACATGAAGGAACTTTCAATGCGCATGCCTTAAGTGAAAGGAGCCAATTCGAAAAGACCCCCTACTGTATGATTCCAACCATATGACGTTCTAGAAAAGGCAAAACTATAGACAGTAAGTAAATATGTCGGTGGTTGGCGTGGGGAAGGGGGGAGGAGAAATGAAATAACACGGAAGATTTTTAGGACACTGAAACTACTGATTCTAGAACAGCAGATACTTATTATATACGTGTGTCCAAGTCCACAGAAAATACAACACAAAGTGTGAACCCTAATATAAACCATGAACTTTAGTAATGAAGCAATACTGCTTCATCAACTGTCACAAATGTACTCCAAGATGTTAGCGATAGACAAAACTAGGAGTCAAAGGGCAGAGGGTGTATGGGAACTCAATACTTTCCACTGTTTTTGTAACCCCAAAACGGAACTAAAAATCAGTAGATTAATTCATTAAAACAAGAAAAACCGATACAGGGCAGCATCCACCAGACACATGTGGTGTTGGTGCCCACCCCCCCAATCCACTCCCAACTCGGGCACCAGGTTTCTGTCTCCTTCCTTGGTGACTCACATTTTGGCCAGGACGTACCCCACAATCTTCCCGTTCTCATCCTCTGCGATGTAAGAGAGCTAGGTGACAGGGAGGAGAAAGAAGTTAGAAAATAACTTCCTGTCAGAGCCAGAGGAGCCCCTGGCAGACATTTGGTCCCACTGCCGGCCTGTCACTGTGTGCATGACAGCAACCGATCAAGTGGCGAGTTTAGTGACAGCTCCTGACCTCTAGGTCCAGTGGCTTGGTTTCCTTCCACACACCCCACTGCTGCTCCTCCCACTTGGATTCTCCCTGGCCTGGTTTTTTTCCCCACCCCCAAATTCCAAAGCTGCCCACCTGGGGCCAGGAAAGGCCATGGTAGAAGTAGTATTTCATCTGGTAGTTCTCCGGCAGACACAGCAGATTGCAGTGCTGCATGTTCATTAGGTCCTCCGGCTGCGGGGAAGGCAGGCAGTGGAATGCAGTCAGGCCAGGGGCTGTGGTGACTAAGTAGGCCTCAGCCACGTTAGAACCCTGCTCCCTGTCTGTCTACTCATCGACCCCCACCCCCGCAGGGCTGGGCGGGCGCTGTGACTATCTGTCCTTGCACAGGCCTGGCGCACAGCCGCTGTGCAAAAAACATCTGTTCCAGGAATGGACGTGAGCGCCAGGAGGTTCCGGGACACCATGCAACTGAGCCCCGACATCCCTGTTCCGGTAGGTCCAGCCCCACGGGGACGATGGCCTTCACCTGTCCGTGCCCTGAGGCCGCAGGCGTGTGGGGCGACCGGCCCGGTGCTCGGCCGGGCCCCTCGGGAGCATGCGCACGCGGCCACGGGGCCGCGCACCCACGCGGCGCGGACAGCCTCCCGTCCCTGTCCCTCACCCTCGCATTGCGGATGTTCATAACGGCGGCGGGGCACGCGGTTCTCAGCGGGTCGTAAACGCGGAGTCAGCTGCCGCCGCTCTCCAAGGCGACACCGGGGCGGCCAGGCCGGGGCTGGGGCTGGGGCTGGAGCTGGGTCTCGGGAATCGCGGGGGCGGCGGCGGAAGGGGCGGCGCGCACCAGGCCCGGCCATCGGCCGGAAGTGCCCGCCGCCGAACCCGCCCTCGCGGCCTCTGGGCCAATGCTTGGGACGGGGGCCGGGGCGGGAGTGGGGCCTGTCCGCGAGGCGGGGCGGGGCGCGGGGCGCGCCAATGGTCGGGCGAGCCCCGGCGCGGGGCGGGCCCATCGGAGGGGTGGGGCGGCCCGGCGCAGGCTAGTACGCTCCAGCCGACTCCGTGCTACCCTCCTCCCGCGATCCCACAGACGAACGCACACCGGCAGCGCAGCAGGCTCGGTTTTATTTCGCGCCTTGGCGGGCGGGGGGTACGGCGGGAGGGGAGCCGGGACTCGGAGCCAGGGTGGGGTGGCTCAGCAGGGCGCCCAGCATCTCCTCGCACATGGCGAGGCACCTCGGCACATGGAAGCAGCCTGCGGGGAGAGGCAGGACAGCGGGTTGGGAGGCCCAGGGACAGCCGACTGCCCCAAGCCCCTGCGGCCCCCGCCCTTTCTGTCCCCCACTCACCTTTGAAAGGACCGCCTTTGATGGTGAGAGCGACCTTCCCCTCTTGGTTCAAGTAGCCAAACCATTCCCCGTACTCAGGATCGCGAAACTGGAACAACAAGATAATGACAGCCTGGGCCTGCAGGAGTCTCCCAGGTGTCACAAGGCCAGAAAAAGGGGCGCTCACTGTCCCCACCGCACCCTTACCGCAGGGTCAGAGCCAGGGCTGACCCCAGGTCACGTGGCTCCAGAATCGGTGCTTTTATTATTTTTTATTTAAGATTTTATTTATTTGACAGAGAGACACGAGGAACACAAGCAGGGGGGAGTGGGAGAGGAAGAAGCAGGCTTCCCGCAGAGCGGGGAGCCCGATGCGGGGCTCGATCCCAGGACCCTGAGATCAGGACCTGAGCCGAAGGCAGACGCTTAACGACTGAGCTACCCAGGCGCCCCAGAATCAGTGCTTTTATTTTATTTTATTTTTAAAGATTTTATTTATTTACTTGAGAGAGAGAGAGAGAGAGAGAGAGCATGAGAGGGGGGAGGGTCAGAGGGAGACGCGGACTCCCCGCTG